TATATCATAGCTCTGTCTTCTATGATTATATGAGGGGAAATTATGGTTTGCGGAAATGGTCGAGCACTCGAGGATATGAAGATAAAACTGGTATTGCCTCTATTTTGAACACTGTCTCCTTTTGTTAAAAATGACTGATTTGACCTTGTTTTCGCGGCGTGGACGTATTTTCAGGGCAACCTTCGATGAACGCATCTTGTTCGAAGTCCACCTCATGATAAGTTCCAGCGAAGGATCGTGGACTAAGTACTTATCCAGATGTTTTGCTGGCATCATATTCAGCACCAAGCCTAAACTCTGCGAAGAGATGAATTTCTTCAAGGTAAACTCAGCCCAGCCTGGATAAGAAAACCTTTTTATAGACAAGTCTAAATGAAATTCAATAAATTGAAGATATGAGGAGCAAGATGTTTTGGCCTCTGATATAGTCGCAGTATCCTTTCGATTTATAGAAATGGGTTGACTTTGTTGTCGCAACTTGGTCTTGTTGTCAGGGAGACTTAGTAGAACACACCTAGTCCGAAGTCGTCTGCCATAGTAGTTTTCATGATTCCCAGCATCTGACAGTGGACTTAGTACATTCTCAAACGTTTCGCCGGTTACGATCTCGGAGCTTGGCGCGGCGAATGGCAAAACTCACAGATGATGCCGACTATGATGCCGGCGAAATATTTGAGAATGTACCAAGTCCACTGTCTAATGCTGGGAATCATGACAACTACTATGGCAGACGACTTCGGACTAGGTGCCTTCCACTAAGTCCCCCTGACAACAAGATCAAGTTGCGACAACGAGGTCAACCCATTTCTAGAAATTCAATAAATTTAATGAGTCGTAGCTTGATGTTGAGAATGGAAAGATTTACTAACGATGCCGGCGAAACGTCTGGAACTCTACAATTTCCACGGTCCAGTGCAGAAAATTATCATCACTGCTGTGGCAGAAGGCGTCGGACAAGACGCGATCATCTAGGTCCCCCTGACAATACGCGAAGAGGCCAAACAACTTCTATCATTAAGCAAGTTCACTGCAACAGATTGTAATTTGGTAGATACAAAGAGAATCTAGGTTTCGGTGAATCTCTTGAGATAACATTGTTAGGAGGACTTTCATTTCGTATGAAAGTGAATGGAGAAGAGATTCGTTGGTCGATCTCACCAGATGAGAACTGATAAATCTCGTTATACTGCAGTCGTTTAGCTTTCATACGATATTCATGTTGACGCAGTCCACGAGACTTCCTCCTTCGTTCGTGAAAACGTGCTGAGCTTTCATCCATCATATGATGGACATCATCAGAGCTGGCTCTCATTCTTGTAAGAGTCTCACGTTAACACTAAGCCAAGAACACTATCCGGCTCTATCTTACTTTTTATATAGACTCAATTGAGCCAAATGAAAATTAAAAATCTAGATAGATCGATATAGAGTGGTTTGGTTAATTATCTTTCATACTAGTCCTGTTACTTTTGCTCCAGTGTATGCGTATGTGCATGGGTACGTGTTAGCTTCTCTATGCAAAACGGTTCATAAATCAGACTTGTCAAAGGTTTAATCTCAGGTTCTGATCCTCAAGGTCTAATGACCTTTAAAGAAAGCCCTGACAGAGACTTCGTAAGTCCGTAAGCGAGTATGATTAAGATAATGAGATATGAGCTTGTAAGAATGTAAGTCAAATTACGAAACCACTTGTCCTAACCTCTCGGTATAGGGTCATTAACGTTTAATCCTCCAAGGAAAGAAAAGACTGGGGTC